TCTCTCTCTCTGTGTCTCTCTCTCCCCCTCTCTGTGTCTCTCTCTCTCCCTCCTCTCTGTGTCTCTCTCTCTGTCTCTCTCTCTGTGTCTCTCTCCCTCCATCGACTGAGCAGCTGCCGAGCTCGTCAAAATGCTCGGACAGGCCGGCGTTGGCTGTGAGGAAAGCGGCTCTGGCCTGCATGTCAGATAGAGAAACCCTCCTGCACCCTCAGAGAGACGTCAACCAACTAAAGTCTAGCACCCACTCAACCTGTACGGCCTTCGTTCAAGTCAAGTCTTTATTGATGTGCAAAAAAATCAACACGATTAGTCTCCAAGAACCGCCTTGATGAGATGAAAGTAAGGTCATTATTCTGTGCTGGTGGATGAATTTCAAAAGGCCTTCAGTGTGTCACCGCTGCCGGCTTAGCCGAGCTTAGGTCGGGCAGAATGTAATGGCCTACTTTGTCTGAGCGTGCACACACACACACACACACAACCTCCCTGCGAGGACCTGAAACCATGGCAGGTCTGTCTGCAGCCGCCCAAAAATAAACGGTGGGCGGCTCTGGTGGAGTTCCTTGTTGCTAGGGGTTTCCCTGAGGGCGGGAGCCACAGGGTGGGGGGGGTTTCTGATGACGACACGGCTATAAATAAACACCACAAGAGCACGCTGCCTGTCCTTTAGGTCGGTCCACACTGGCGAGCTGTACATTATCAGAGTATTCAGACTAATGCACCGAGTGCTGGAGCTGTGGTCTGTAGAGCTCACTATGGCTGTAAGGCCTCCTCTCAACCTGCAGCCTGAATGAGATACGACTGAGGGGAGAATGTGTGTGTGTGCTTCTTTTTCAAGTCCCATAATAATGACCTGATTCCTCCAGATTCTCAGGTAAACCAGAGTCTCTTCTACAGAACCTGATGAAAACAGTAGGAAGACCAAGTCGCCCTCAGCTGTTTTTCATTTTAACACTCAAATATTTGTATAGCTGCATTGTTCATATCACGAAGAAAACATCGGTCACAAATGTGCTAGCTTGTGCAGTTTGGAGTGCCGTAAGCATCGCAACAGAACGGGAGTAGCGGGACGGTGAGAGCGGCGGCCATTTTTAATGTGTACAGGTTGCTATAGCTTGCGTTGCAGCAGGCTAGCTTCCATATAAACTAAATCGACTTAACGACAGGTTGCTGACTCACTGAGGGGAGGTCGACTAAAACGAGCAGTGGAGTAGTAACGTTATGCAGCATAGAGATCCAGAGTAAATGAGTAAATACAAAGTAAAACTAGCAAGCTAGCTAGCTGGCTAACTAGCGCACAACTGGCTAGTTAGCTATCTTGCTAACTCCACCATGCTTTAATGCTACACTGGTTTTAGAAAATGAGCGGACCGGCTGGCTTGTGTTGAAGTTACAAAAGCATGAAGTGCTCTTTAGATATGTTTACTTAGCTATCTTGTATATATTTTTAGAAGAAACCTAAGCAGTCCTCCTCATCGCGAGTAAACTGCTTTACGAGTTCCTCTTTTGTGTATCTGGTGTCCGTCTGCAGCTCACTGCCGTCGGCCCGTATGTTTCCGAGCTGACGCTGCCCCCTCAACACAACCCCATCATGCTGATATTCAGTGCCATGTGTCGCCCTGCTGCAGTTACGGAGCTGTAATTATCAGTAACATGTCGGCTTTGTGTGTTACTTCCTCCCCGCTTGTCTCGGTTCAGGTTCTCCGTGTTAATGCAGTCACACGTCTCCATTAACGTGCAGAGGGTGAACCGCTTTAGAGGACAAATTCATCAACAACGTTTTGGGGAACTTTTGTGTTTTTTATAATTGAACACGAATGGGGAGGAAAAGCCACGTTGCACTGAGCAGATTTTGTGTTCACACAGCTGTGCTGCTGTTTACTGGTTAGCTTCAGAACGAAAACACTGGTATTGATAATACCAGTGTTACTATAATGCGTGATGATAGGAGGGGTTCATGTAAGGATTGAGATTCTCATCTTCTAAGATTCTGAATTTATTCATTACTTCTGAAGACAAAGCGGTATTGAGTGAGGAAGACCAACAGGAAATCCAACACGAGCACAAACGTAGACGCCAGTCAACCAAACCAGACGACCTGACACTGAAACACTCGGACTAAATACACAAGACGCTAATCAACCAATGAAATCACAGGTTTGGTAGAAAACAGGCGAAGACAGAGTCAATTTCAAAATAAAACAGAAAAACAATGCAACGTCATGACATCTTACGATTGACAAATACTAAAAAAATGTAATGTATTTAATTACACAAGTATTGATTTTATTTATTTTTTGTATACATTTTTGAAACTGTAATCGATATTGAACCGAATTATGACCTCAAGAATCGAATGAATCTTGAGACACACACACCTGATGACATATTACACTTTCACTTCCAGCTCGTAATATTCCGCCTAAGAATTAAAGTCCAGTATTTGACACAAACACATACTCACACACATGCACACAGACACACACGCATGCACACAGACACACACTCATACAATTATAAAGACACAGGTGGACCTCCACTGCAGTATGTATTTATGTTAATCGTGTGACAGGCGTAGTGTGAACTCAAAATCTGGTGACATCTACATATGCATGTGTTTTCATGCTTACACCTTCTTTCATGTGTGTGTGTGTGTGTGTGTGTGTGTGTGTGTGTCTGCGTGTGTCTGTGTGTGTGTGTGTGTGTGTGTGGGCTACTTTGGGGGGCTAACGGGTTCCAGTTGCCTAGTAACACAGTTGAGGGTGCATACAGCGCTTATGAAAGTGTGTGTCTGTGTGTGTGTGTGTGTGTTCAGTACGTGAGATTATCATAATCATCTCACAGTTACACTGGGTCTCCCTCAGAGTGGCTCATTAGCATAAAGCAGTGTGAGGAGCCTCTGAGACTGCAGCCCTCAGAAAAACAAACAATTATTGTTATTGTTGTTCTGAAACAAATAGATTTAATGCAAAGCTCATAGTTCTATATTATTATACCAAAACAACATTATTTTATCTTTCTGTGAAGTGTAAAAATTGTTTTTGTACTCACAGGTATATAAAAAAATTTTAATATTTGTTTCATAATAAAACATGTTTCTTACTTTGATGATTATCAGGATAATAACATTAATTGCAATTTGTCTTGGTGAGGATTATCCTGAGATGAATCAAGGAAGACCTTTAGAATACTGAATATATTTCATGTGATCTTTTCAGCAGCAGTGTTTTCCGCTCCGTCTATAATTATACGTACAGGTGTCGCTGGGATTAAATAATAAGAACATCCCGTACCTTTCCTCTCTGGCTCTCATATTTCTGCCCACAGCTGTCACACTTTGTTCCAGTTTATTTTAGAAATGTGATTCTGTTGTTCCTCCTGTCAACAAACCAAGAATCGCTAGCAGCGTATGATCTGTTATTTCCTTTTGAGATGTTGGCTGCAGTACAGAAGGAAGGCAGTCAGCGCTCATAAAGAGTTAATGAGATGACAAAAGTTCAATCACTGAGTCTCATTCGTTTATTTTTGGTGCGATGCAGGAGAAGAGTTTTAAAACACAGAGCTATATGTTGGATAAGTCGGTTAAACTTACTTCTGTAGTAAAAGTACTGCAGCAGCATCGTCTCAATAGTGACTGAGATTTGGCTCGTCGGGTCGAGACCACGACGGAGACTCAGACTATGAGGAAGCTGTTGTTGTTGCTCTCATGAATAAAACATGTTATCTCGACTCCTCTGGTTGTATAGAAGTCTATGAGAAAATGACTCTACTTCTCTCTTGATTTATTACCTCAGTAAACATTGTAAACATGAGTTTATGGTCTCAATCTCTAGTTTCAAGTCTTCTTCAATACAGCATGATGTTCATTTAGTAAATTATGGTCCATTTAGAGTCACACAGACCATAAAGCAGGGGATGCTTTAGGGCGGGGCTACACAGTGATTGACAGGTACCAGAGACGTATACGGCGTCTCTATGTCACTCTTCAGTCCAGATATGGTCACTTCCTGTTCATTGGTTGCTAAAAAAAACAACATATCGACGGTGAAATCGCCAAAGTTGAAAAAGGGAGCGCTGCTCTCTCAGCTGGTTTTTGCAGCATCGTGCAGAATGTGGTGCGTCTGTGTCAGGAAGATGGCTGAACCCTAAAATCATAAAATCATTTATAACCACACTATCATGCTCATATGTAGTCACACCTGTATCTTTAGGGTTCTACTAGAACATTCATGCTTTCGTGTTCAAAGGCACGTAGCCCCGCCTTATCAACACAAGAAGACATCTCACTGTCTACAACACGGAGCTCAATACTGGCTGTGATTCACGGCGGTGGAGGTGTGTAGCTCGGTGTAACCGTGTTACTGCTGTGAACAGGAAGTGGGAGGCTGCTGATAAGGATGTGTGTTTAGTGTCAGAGGACAGACTCACACCGCGTGGACACAGAAACCTCTCGGCGCACATCAGGTTATGTGCTCGTGTGCAGGTTTCATCTTGTATCAGCACTTGTCAGGAACGTCGTTCAGAACAAAGAGACGCAGAATCACAAGCACCTGTTTGTGCTGAAGGGCTGAGTTTCAAACTGATGCTCGCTTTATTCATCAACCGGCTGCAGTGACGTGTTGACGACAAGATGGCGACGGCCGTAATCCAAGATGGCGACGGCTAAATCGCCGAACTCGAGGCTTCAAAGCATCAGTCCACAAACCAATGTCACTATGACTACGTGCACTTATCACACAGTCTGTGTTCCTAACTTACTTACAAGACAGAGACCGACCCGCTCCACGAGTTTACCGAGTATTGGACGCGTGATGTCTGTGTTTGCTTGAAGAAAAGGTGCCAAGTCCAAAAACCTGAAGTTCAGGCGTTTTAGTTTGAATGTTTTTATAGCACCTCTTTGTTATCTCTGATATCAGCTTCACTGAGAGAACAGAAGAGTCCAGAGAGGAGCGTTACATCATCACTGCTTCATCAGCCAAGGACTATAAAGTAGAGCAACGTTTTCACTCAACTCAGAGTAATAATGATGAGATCAGGTGAGATCAGGTGAGATCTGATGGGATCTGGTGGGATCTGGTGAGATCTGGTGAGATCAGATGAGATCTGGTGAGATCTGATGAGATCTGGTGAGATCAGGTGAGATCTGGTGAGATCTGGTGAGATCTGATGGGATCTGGTGAGATCAGATGAGATCTGGTGAGATCAGGTGAGATCTGGTGAGATCTGATGGGATCTGGTGAGATCTGATGAGATCTGGTGAGATCTGATGAGATCTGGTGAGATCAGGTGAGATCTGGTGAGATCTGATGGGATCTGGTGAGATCTGATGGGATCTGGTGAGATCTGATGAGATCTGGTGAGATCTGATGAGATCAGGTGAGATCAGATGAAGAGTCGTAACCAACACGAGTCCTGACTTCTACCTCCTGCTCATTAACGTCTTTGTCTTGTTTGAGGGATGAACACACTTCTTCTAAAATATATCTGCTCATGTTTAACTCTTTTTGTTCAGCTATATTTCATATTTATATTTAGTATCAGGAAGTATTGTGTGTAGTGCTCAATAGTAGTATTGTTAAAACAAAATATTCAAGATGCATTGTCTAAAAACACGTCTCTATACCTCACTGAAATGCTTCTTAGTTGATTGTGTTTTATATTAAGTGATATTTTGACTAGTAGTTACATTTAATAATTCATATCATGTGCATTGTTTATTTTTCAACGTTGTGCAATATCACTTTAAATATATTAAATTAAATATAATATATAAAATATAACTTTTTTAATCATATTTAAATATACTGTGCACAATATTACAGTTCTATTTTAGCTTATAGTAGGTACTGGTTTTTTGTATTACTTCTTATACACTTAATATTTATTACTCTGTTGTTTATATATATTTATATTCGACTGGATTCATGACGGATTTGAATGATGACAAAAACAAATCCAACGTCCTTTTGTGCATTTACAACAGAAGTGAAGAGAGAGAAGCTCCGAAAAACAGAACCTCTGACACGATGTGAACTTTTCCTCTTTATTATATCAATAAAGACTTTTGTTCTGATCGTTACCATCACAGGTGAACCTTTCATGTTTATCTGTCCTCACGGAGCTCAGTGAACATGAACATTAGCGTTACGTATTAACATTAACAGATAGCTCGTCTCATGTAGGACTTCAGATTAAAGCGGTTGGCCGGTGGGATCACGTGACCGTGTGTGAACGAGCTTATATAGTAATTAACAACTGGCTTTGTTGTTCTGGATTAAATCCTCGGCACTGTTCGTGCAGCGTTCTGGAGCTTTTTATGTTTCTGATGGCAGCGGAACGGACGACACGGACTTATAGAAGAGCCGACAACAAAGGCTGTGAGTTTGTTAGATGATGTATAACTGTACGTGTTTACTGTTTATGTTCACAATCTATTCTTCTATTCTTGAGCAGAGAGTCCTGAGGCGACTGTGGCTCTGCAGCCTGGACAGGAAGTGTGTCCTTCACCTGGCTGCAGGTGTTACCTGCGATATTTATAATTCAGATTAATATCGGCTGGCTGAGTGCATTAACGTTGCTGATTTGTTTGTGTCAGTCATGGCCTCATGCATCATGACTCCTGCTCACTTTATGAGTTCTGATGATCTACGGAGAAAATCAGATGAATGTCTCTAAAAAAAAGAAAAAAGTCTCATCCGGACCCCTCTCCTCCTCTTCTTCTTCCTTCTCCTGTTCCTCCTCTTCTCCTCCTCCTCTCCTCTCTTCTTCCTCCTCCTTCATCTCTCCCTCCAGTTGATGCCGATGAGATTAAGAGGCTGGGGAAGAGGTTTAAGAAGCTGGACCTGGATAACTCCGGCTCTCTCAGCGTGGAGGAGTTCATGTCGCTGCCGGAGCTCCAGCAGAACCCTCTGGTTCAGAGAGTCATCGACATCTTCGACACGGACGGGAACGGAGAGGTGGACTTCAAAGGTGAGCGAGGAGCTGATGTGTTGAACAGCTTTGTGCTCTCTGATGGTCTGTGACACCACGACACTGCTTATATGTGGTGTTGGTTCAAGAGGATTTGGATTACCGAGTGCCACTTCTACAGTTTTTATGTTGCTGGTGGTTACTCTGACTAAAATACGGCCTCAGTAAGTCTTTTTGTTTGACATGCAGAAGATTAGCAGTAGAAGCCAGAGCTCTGACTGGCGTTCTCTCGTTCTCTCGTCCCTCAGAGTTCATCGAGGGAGTCTCACAGTTCAGCGTCAAAGGTGACAAAGAGCAGAAGCTCCGCTGTAAGTATTCCTTCATTCTGCTGGTTCCAGGTCTCTGATCCCCAAACATCTGTTTATCCTGCTGCTTTGGGACCTGAACCCAGCGAGGCTTTGTCTCCTGGCCCCCCCCTGTTCTATTTGTCTCACCTGGACCTGCTTCCTCTGGGGGAAACATAGAGTGATGAGCTGAGTACTAAATGTACTTTTTGTCTCTCCTGCTGAAAGCTTGTGAAGTACATAAACAACATCTTATTGTTATTTTTCTACCCGTGTTCAGTGGAGTTTGTCTCTAGAAAGAAACTTAAAGATAGAAAACAAACCCAAAACAAGAGGGAGGCAAAAGTAGAGTCAAGCACCAGGGTAACCAAGACCACAGGAGGGAAGATGATGACAAGAGACGAGGAAGTACTGAGACGAACTGAACAAGACGAAAGGAAGCACAGACTAAATACTGTGGGGGGGGACAGGTGAAGCTGATCAGGGTGGAGAACAAACAGAAGAGCAGGAAGTGAAGTAATCTGAAACGAGAGGTGAGAGGTGAAGTAAATATAACAGGAAACAGAAAGATGACTTAATAATGAAAACAAGGAAAACGACAAACAAGAGTTTCAGGTTTGATCAGAGTTTACTGTGAGGGACAAATACTTTATGCATCATGTGCAGTATTACTTCAATATATTTCATACACACTATAAATGTTCTATTTTAGTTTCTTTAGGCTCTGGTTTCAGTTAACTTCTTAAAGACTTATTACTTCTATTTTTACTCTTACGTGGTGTAACTTACATTCTTATTTGACTAAATGTATCTTGGTTCTACAGCTATTCTATCTTGAGCTGGTGTCAGTTTTATTTATTATACACTTGATATTTATTACGCTATTGTTTATATATAATTCTATAGTTTTTCTTATCTGTCTGTTGTAATCTTTGATCAAACTCTGGCAGAAGACTTTCCTTTGGTATTAATAAACTTCTATCTTATCTAACAGACAAATAAACTTGATAAGATTTACATTTTTTCAATGTTCAGAGCCGCTGATGTCACGGTGTTTGTTCAGGGACCCTCGTTCATATGGAAACTTTCACATTTTAAAGTTTATTTCAGCTTTTCATTTCTTGAGGATTAACAAACTTCTATCTTTTCTTAAACGTTGCTGTCAGTCTGGCCCTTTAAGAGATTCATTTATCAAAGACAACATCTGGTGCTCTGCAGATGTTTTTATGTGTGACTGACGTTCCCCCCCCTCATGAATCCTCCTCACCTTCACTCAACAGTCGCCTTCCGGATCTACGACATGGACAAGGACGGCTACATCTCCAACGGAGAGCTCTTCCAGGTGCTGAAGATGATGGTGGGCAACAACCTGAAGGACACGCAGCTCCAGCAGATCGTAGACAAGACCATCATCAACGCGGACCGGGACGGAGACGGACGGATATCCTTTGAGGAGTTCTGTGCAGTGAGTCCACGCATCTATTCCAGCAGGACAACAATAGAACTCATTAAAGAGGCTCCGCTGAGTCACACGGTTTACTTGCTATCTGGTGTAAAGAACGGAGGCTGGATGACGGAGTAACGTTGGATAGGGGGATGAAGAAGTCCAATTAAAGATGCTGTTGAGTTGCATTATAGGAAATGTAGGATCCAGTTTGTTTCTAGCGACTTGTTAATAACGTCTCACGAGTCCTCCAACTTTATGAAAGTGTAAAATAGAAAAAAAAAGACCAAACAGAAAAGAGTTTTTCATGATGTGTCCCCTTTAAATAGTGGAATAAAAACACTATTTTATGTTTCATTTGCTTTTATTTATTTTATCAGAAGTCTTTTTTCATAGCAGACAGTTTGACTTGTCATAGTAGGAAAAGCGTAATCAATATCATTCAATCAGCTGTTATCAGTAAAACATTAACATACTTTCACATGATTAATGATTAATAAATGTATTTTTGTCTTGTCCCTCTTCCAGGTGGTCGGAGGTCTCGATATACACAAAAAGATGGTGGTGGACGTGTGAGCGCTCCTCCGCCTCCCTCCCTCATATTTCAACTTTTTTTTTTTGTTAATTGTTATTTTTAATATTTATTTTTTTGTTTGTTCTTGTTTTTTATAAATAATAAAAAATACAAGTATATCTATGGTTTGTCTGCTGAGGAGAAGTGTATAGCTTATGGACACTTAAGTAGAAAGAAGGGTATGAAGTGCCAACCGGAACATATCCAGAAACCAGGCCAAGTTATTACCCATCATGCACCACCTCCAGTCATAACTCTGTCATTTTATTTTTTAACTTACATGCGAGCTCTTTTGGATTCAGACTCTTTCAGCAAAGCAATTCATTTCTCCAACACTTGATAGTTTCATTCATGCTGAAGAATGTGTTTAATGAAATCATTAGCTAGATATAAATTAATGCCAAGAAAATGTCTTTTCAAATAATAATGTGTGCTGCAAACAAATAACTGGGTTTACTGTTTGTTCACCAGCGTGGAGCGGTGAGGTTACAACACGAGTGTGCGTACATAGAGACGTGTCTGCAGGCAGCGTTTGTGTTTTAAATCAAAATGTGTATATTAGATAATCAATGTGTGCTCAGCTTTAACCGCCAGAGGAGAAAAGCTTTTACCTGAAACACTTTTCCGGTACAGCGAGGTACGGAACACATTTAGAGCCACGTGTGAAAGCGTGTTTACATGTGCCGTTAATCCTCCTCCGTAGAAGACTTTTATTTTTATTTTCAAAACTTAATTTTCTCCCCTCACACTATTACACAAACCGGGAGAAAAACTAACTTTACCAAATTTTTCATCCCTGAAAACAAGAAAAGATAAAAATGCTTCTGGCTATAAACGGCATCGGGAAAGCTTTTGTTTTGAAGGGCGACTGCATAGCTCGGGCCTCCCTCTGCTTGCATGACATGAAAAAGTTGTGCATGTGGATCCATTTATTAAAATAAATAATCCTCTTGTTTACACATGGAAGGTGATGTTAATATATTTAACGGTATACAACACAGATGTTGCCAAACTCTGGTACATGTTCACTTAAGATGAGAGGAAATCCAAAATGAACTGAACTACGTGTAACTTCTGTATTTGTAAACGGGGTCAGCGAGAGACTCGTGTTCCAGTTCAGATCTGATCCCGTCTCAAACTGCACGGAGCTTAACGACGTTCTGATGTTTGTATACAAGTATTTGTTTCTCTGCATAGTTCAGATCACGCTGTAGTTTAAGTGATATTTTAATGTGTCTCCTCAGAGGGATCTCTTAGTTTATTTTCTGCATGCTGCATCTTGCGCTGTGGGACTGTTGGAAACTTGATACTGTAAGAAAAGTAAACAACTTAAATAAACTTTGAAATGTTGAAAGTAATCAATTCAGGATGTTATTGAGCAGAATGTTTAATTATCACCAAACGATCCAAAACACAAAATGACACTCGAGCTGTTGGTGCGGATTGAAATGATTTATTTACATAAACTTAAACGTGTCGCATAACAGAGGAACCTGATGTGTCAGTCAACCAATGAGGGGCGGGATCAACGCACACAGCAACCAATCAGAGTTCAGAATCTCTCGGCCGACCGGCTGGCCACCACCCTGATGTTACCGTAGACCTTTGAAGGTGGACTTCCTGTTTGGGGCAAAAAGGGTTAAAAAGGTCACTTCATGTGGATCCAGAGAGTTCGCCAAACATCTTGTTGTACTTGTATTACTCAAATATAAAAAAACAAATATGTTTCTCACCTAATATTAAATTGCATATTGCTGTCCGGGCCATCTTGATATTCTGGAAAGATCCCAATATGTGAACTTTTCTGTTGAGAGGCGGATGAAATGTTTCAGTTAGAGAAACTCGTAATGAGACACGTCTCTTTGGTTTGCATATCACATCACAACTTTCCTCTTAAAAAGGCAGTAAATAATATCAGTGGTGTGTTTCTGCAACAGGAAGCTACATTTTATAAAGTATCTCAGTGAAAACGCCTAAAAATGACGTTCTCGTACAACAAAACTTCATTCTAAATGAGGTCATTTTGTCGTATTTTACGTTTTTTTTCTACATATAAATAAGTTTTAAAGAGTCCGTGGAAGTCCTCGTATGGAGTTCGGTCAGATAAACATAAACAGTTTAAAAGTAAAAGACATAACTTAAAAATAGAAAATCTACATTGAAATATGATAAACAAGAGTACGCAAGTGAAAGTGTCATGTGTGTATTTAAAGAGAAGAGTGTAGAACTATAAGTAATTGTTCTGTAGATAAAGTACTTTGTTGCCTGTTCTGTGTAAATTGACATTATCGTGTTAAATAAAACCGTTTCAAACTGCGACTGTAATCCAGGAGATAATACGTTTCCTCCAAACGTCATCGAGAGTGAAGTTTAGTTGTATGTGAATGTAATTCAGTAGGAGACGAGGTTTAGGATCAGAAAGCGTTGGAGAGACGAGCGCTTTGTTGTCATCGGTAACTACGTCCAATGATCTCATGATGAACATTAACGTTTTTACGACATCTGTAGAACCAGGGCAGCGCTGGTTGGTAGACGGGTGAGCAGACGGGTAGGTCACCCAAATGCCAAATTTGGCCAAAATAAAATGATTGGACGCGATTATTACAGTCCTGCGACAACCGACTTTCTCTTTAGTCCGAGCGTTTAGTTAAACAGCGAAATAACCTTTCGGTGATTAATAAACTCACGTCTCTGCGAGCACGATGCGAGTCTTGGTGACGTTCTCAATGGTGAACTTGGTCTTTCCTCCCTTCCCCGCTATCCTGCCGATGGCTCTGGATAAGTGGTCTCCCTTCAGAGGTTTCACTGCCGAGAGACGACGTCAGAAAACAATTAAACACAAACAAACACAAACACAGAGATTAGATGTCGAGTTTCAGAGCAAACGTGTTTCACGTCGTCGTCTTCTTACCGTCCGTGACGTCGAAGCTTTCTAGGAAAAGCTCGTCTAGTCTGATGAGAGCGAGCGCGTCCTGAGGAGAGAAAGAGTGAGCGTTACGTCACAATTAAATAAATCACAAATACCACAATCAAACGAGGGTCAAAGGTCATTCTCCAAAACATCACATGATCCGACAGCAACACCTCAACCGTCTGTCCTCTGGTGGTGAGATTCAATAATAGGGTTAAGATTGTTATTTTGTTATGCTGTCTGACGGGCCTAGTTTGTGTATCTGTGTTGGTGTCTCTGTGTTTGAACGATTAAAACTTTAAAGCCATAAAATGAAAACAGTTTACTTACTTCGACCTGGAATCCCAGAACAAACGCTTTGACAAAATCTGATGCTTTAGTGAGCGACCCGATGTCCTGCGTCTCTTTACAGGTCTGGAAGAATAAAAACAAACGTTACAATCAGCTGTTATTGTGAAGCGGCTCAAAGTCAACGTGATGAGAACTCACTTTGATTTCCACATTCCTGGTTTTGAGGTTGAACCGAACTTGGAGCTGCAGGTTTTCTACGATTGGCGTGAAAATCTTCAGCCAGTTGTCCTTCAGCGGCGTGTACCTGTGAGCCGGGACGGAGATCTTACGCATCTCATCCGGTCCCTAAAACACACAGAACCAAACACAGAACCACCGTCACCAACCAGAGACAATACAGGAAGTAAACGGTGTTCTGTGGCACTACATGAGGTTCTACTTGCATCACATTTTAGGTGGTGAAAGTCACAAAATCTAAAAAACAATTAAAAGTTAAAGTCTTGCAGCCACGTTCCCTAAAGAACGTAAAGAAGTATTAGCAGCACGGTATAATATTGTCAGTGACTTATTGTCCGTGTCAGCATTATAGTTACTGATGCATTCATTTGAATGTTAATTTTAAAGCGGTGGGCGGTCTCACTAATCCGTTCACTGATGGGTAGAGATCTGCTCTTAATAACGTATTCTGCTAAAGTATCTAGTGACCGCAGATATTATATAAGAGTGTTGTTGAGTATTGTGTAGGGAAGTAAAAATAAAGTCTGAATAATAAGAAGAAGAAAACAGTTATTTGTGTTTTGGTTCCCCGTGGTGGAACGTGACTCAGCACGTCTACTTAAGTACTTTAGTATTTACATTTAATGTAACTTCATACTGCTCCTCTACTACATCTCAGAGGTAAACATTGTATTTTAACTGCACTACATTTGAAGTGTTTCCTTTGAGTGTTCAGAAAAACCCTCCGACTTCTTAAACTGAGTAAACTCTCAAAAAGCATCTGAGATCAGCTGAGCTGTAAATATGTGTTACATCACCGTCAGCTGAAATAATCTAAATAAATATTCTGCCACTCCCCAAAATGAGTCTTTTTAGACTGTCTGCACTTATGAATTCAGATTAAATTTATTGTATGTATTGTACTTTTTGATTGTATACATTTTACTACCTACCAATATATAAAAAGGAGTTGAAATACAATGAGCACAACCGTAAACATCTAACATTACAGCAACAAAATGCAACAAACACATTAATGTAGCAGTAATATCAATACACAAACATCATTTATAACATTAATAAGCAACATTTTACAGCACAAGTAGTACTTTTACTACAAATACTTGTGTATGTTGTTGATACTACTTAAGATACGTTGACTTAAGAGTTATAATACAGTACTTCTACTTGTAACAGTATGTACTTTTACTCAAGTAAAGGATGTGAATACAAGCAGTACTAGTACCACTTGTACAACATGCAGCAGTCACATGACGACACTACACATTTAAACTAACTATAAATAGCTACTAGCTTCTTTGTGACGGAAACAAATGACACTAAATAAACACGTAATGGTATTTATATTGAGACAACATACAGATCACATGTATACAGTACTATACATAGTATATATATATACAGTATCATGTATAGTATTTACCTTTAATTTGTCGCTGGATATTGGTGGAAACTGTGGTCGTTTTCTTGCCACGTGCTCCTCCGTGTCCATGTCGTGTTCACGTTTCCGTTTCTGAGTCTTTTTAGACTTAACGGTCGTGAAAGACCCCGAGTCCTCTGGACTCTCGGTGGTTGCGTTTTTATCAGTGTCCATATCGCCTGAAACTAGTTTTAAAAATTTAAAGATTAAGATTTAAACAGTCAAAAAGTGATGCCGGGTGGTAGCTACACAGGCATGAGGGTGTCCTGGTGCGACGGGAAGGACCCAAACTGCCACTTCGTAGACGCCTGTAGTGAGAAAATTATTAAGAACCGTGTCTTAATTGATAGATATGTCTCATTTGATTATTATAATTGAGTTTGGGGTATTTAAATATCCAGATACATTATATTTGTCTCTCAATACGTGGAACATTTACTAAATGTAAACTTCTTGTCAGGCATCTCTTTGGGCACCTTCACGTTCAGCTCAGCTGGAGGACGACGATCCCATTTGTTTTGGCAGCGAGCGGAAGTGGACGGGATGTTCAAGAAACTTTCACTAGAAAATGACCCAAACTGCCACTTCGTAGACGCCTGTAGAGAAAAAGTAATTAAGAATCGTGTCGTAATTAATAAATATGTCTCAGTTGGTTACTATAACTAATTTTGGGGTAATAAAATATCGAGACATATTATATTTGTGTTTTAATTTGTAGAATTTCTCAAGAGGTTTCTACATTTGGTCAGGCATATCTTTGGGCAGCCTTGCGTTCAGCTCAGCTGGAGCAGGACCGGTCCCATTTGTTGTGGCAGCGAGCTGAAGTGGACGGGATCTTCTAGAAACTTTGACAAGAACAACTTTACATATTATTATTAGTATCAAGATGTCGTCGCCACTAGCGAAGCCTCAGATCATCGCGCACATCCAGAAGGGTCTGAACTACACGGTGTTCGACAGTAAATGGATCCCGTGCAGCTCGAGGTTCGTGTGTTTGGGGAACTTTCCGAGAGGAACCGGAGTGATGCAGATATACGAGGTTCAGCACGGAGAGGCTCAGCTCATCAAGGAGGTAGAGCTGATCACTGCACTTTGGTTTATTATCTTATTCTCCTCAGAAGTACATCATGTAAACGGCTTAATCTCTGCGTTAGCTAACGGTTAATGTCTCCATAGCAACATGCAAGAAATGCTAGTGACCTCTGACGTCACTAGTCAAAAGTTAATATACAAATATAAATGTATAAATAAACACGCATACAATAGCATAGTGGATAGTGCAAACAAGAGACGTAGTACAATATTTTTGTATTATAAATAAGTAAAAAATCCACAATAACTGAAATATAATATACAGACAGTATAGTTGGCGGCTGGTGGAACATGTTCTAGGTAGGGCTGTGCCACATCCAATCAATTTCAGCAAACATCCAAGTATGATTTAATGCAAACAAATTAAGGTATCAAACACGTATTACTACTTTGCAGTTAAATATTTAACCTTTATTCCAACATGAAAAAAAGTTCATTTCCAATTTCCGGTGGACAGTATCGCGCGGATCGTTTCCGGTTTAAACTTCTATGGAGCTAAATCAAGGTCTAAAGTTTTGTTCATTTGAAAAAAAAATTTGAACCTGAAAGTTCAAGTTGTGGTCTTGAACATTGAAAAATACAGCAATGTATTCAAAATAAAAATAAGTGAACGAAAAGTTTTTTGGGTTGAATATAATTTTGATTCAATTCTGGAATTTTTTGGAATACATTTTTTTTTTTTTCATTTTTCACTTTCATATATATTTTGATATTTGAGTTCTTATATTTTTCAGATTTTATATTTTCAGATTCAAATCTTTTTTTTTTTCAGTTTCAAATCTTTTTTTCAGTTCAGACTTTTGACCCTGATCTAACGTGGGGGGCGTGGTATCAACTGAGAGGGGCGTGTCATCATGAGTGACAGCATAACAAAGAACTTCCTCAACCACGTTGCCTTCAGGTAACGTGGGTACCGCGAGAATTATGATTTCTCCACAATCTGTCCTAAAAACATTCACAAAACCAATAAAAGCACCGCAATATACTATATATATATATATATATATATATATAAGTTAATTAATTAAATAAACTGTCAGACATTTGTCATTTTGCTCACGTTTCTCTAGACGTAACTAGACTTTAATCTCATCGAGACTCTTCCTTCCTTCCTGCTACTCCACTGCTTGTTGTATCGTCACATTCGTGGATCTAAACTAAGCTTTGCTTCTCTCGTGTTTCAGGTAGAGAAGCCTAAACCCATAAAGTGTGGCACATTTGGGGCCTCCTCTCTGCAGCAAAGACACATAGCTACTGGGGATTTTGACGGAAATCTCAATATATGGTATTTTATCCAATAAAATGAAGGTTTTTAATCACAAACCACCTCATGTGCTGAATAAAGAAGATAATATGACTGAATTGAAGGAGATGATCCTGTTTAAGATGCTTCTGTTGTCCACAGGAACCTGGAGATGCCCGACGTCTCAGTGTACTCAGTGAAGGCCCACAAAGAGATCGTGAACAGTATCGATGCTGTGGGCGGTCTGGGGATCGGCGATGGCGCCCCTGAGATAGTCACCGGGAGCAGAGACGGTACCTGCAAAATGTTCTAACGTAGTTTACAAAGCAGTCACATGAAGACGTTAGCTGGAGTGTGAACTTCCCCGTGGATGTTACAGGGACAGTTAAAGTGTGGGATTCCAGACAGAAGGACTCGCCCGTAGCCAACATGGAGCCCATGGAAGGAGAAACCAAGAGGGACTGCTGGACTGTTGCATTCGGTGAGTGAAACATCCACGACTTTTAGACGACCGCGGCGGTTTTTAGGTCCAGTTTTCCAAGCACACACATGGATAATAAGTGTTCCTTCACCTCTGACCCTCTCGCTACAGGCCACGCCTTCAACGACCAGGACCGCTGTGTGTGTGCCGGCTACGACAACGGGGACATCAAACTCTTTGACCTGCGGAACATGTCGCTCCGGTGGGAGACCAACATCAAAAACGGGGTGAGGAGAACGCTCAAGACTTCCCTCTTGATCTCTTTAAGTCGTGTAGACAGAGTGGCACCACGGGAACAACATTACAACCATCTGTGAAGGGAAATAAGAACAACGCGAGCGGTTCAGCTCTGAAACACAAAGAGCAGTCCTCGCATTTAGAGCTGATGTTTTTATTAGGGGGATGTGTTTCTTTTGCACTCCAACCTGCAACAACAGAGCTGTGAGATGTCTTCCCAGTTACACTGCACATAAAACCACAGAAGAAGTCTGGAGAGCGTAAGGGGAGTAGTTCTGTGGAGGAGCTGAACTGTTGTTCTTTCTTCCCGACCAGGTGTGCTGCGTGGAGTTTGACAGGAAAGACATCAACATGAACAAGCTGGTCGCCACCTCGCTGGAGGGAAAGTTCCACGTCTTTGACACGAGGACCCAGCACCCCACCAAGGGCTTCGCCTCCGTGTCAGAAAAGGTAATTGACCCGAGCGGAGAGAGTCAGACGGATGTTTGGCTCCAATGTGTGAGGTTATTATAGCTGCTATTATTTTTAAACAGTTGTGTGGTACGTTTTCACAGCTGCATGTGTTTTGGGGCCGTGTCGGTCTAATATTCTCTGTGGCTTTGTGACACTCGCCAAAAATGACACCGAGGAGAGAGAAGTTTGGCTTTTTGTGGGAAAACGGTAGAAAAACACACTTAAAGCAGCATTAGAGCCCGGCCCAGGTGTTAGCCACGTCCCAGAGATCAGAGGCCTCGGCTTTCTAAATGTTTGTCCAGTTCTTCTGAGCGATCAACAGTTGGCATGTCAGCATCTCCAACGATGAATCATGAGGTTCCTAGAAGAAGATATCAGTGAAGCTCCACAGAGCTCTGGATGATACGTGTTATAATAAACGTGATGCAGCTTTGCTAGAAAACAAAAGAGCAAGTTGAGCGATGGGGAAGGTGATGACATAATACTCAATTAAAACTACTAATGACCTTTGTTTATCAAGCAGATATTTAAATCAAAATACAATCATTTACTTCCTTATAATTTCATTGTTTTTATGCTTAAAACACGACAGATGACAATAACAAGGTAAAAGGGTAACATTTAGAAATGTTGACAGTTTACTATTTTTATTTCATTTTATTTAATTTGATTATTTTTCGGGCCGGTGGTGAAAAACGTTAGTCTGGAAGCACTTCAATGCACTAAATGGTTTAAGTGTTCACAGATAATATTATGTCATGCAATAAAAGCAGGAAAATGTAGATTTTTCTAAAAAGAAAAACCAAATAGTTGTTCCGTCTTATTTTCTTTTGCTCCTTAATTAAGCACACGTATGTTTTAGCCGATTACTCGATTAATCAACAGCTGCAGCCCTAAAACCAAAGTCTAAACTGTTATAAAGGACAAAGACTTTGACATTTAAAGTGGTTTAGAGTTTCCTCCTCAGGGTCACAGTCTCTGGAGGTGCCGGGAATTAATTTAGGAAGTAACGAATTCATCTTCTTTGTTTTAGGCCCATAAGTCGACCATCTGGCAGGTGAAGCATCTTCCCCAAAACAGAGAAATCTTCATGACTGCAGGGGGAGCAGGGAACTTACATCTGTGGAAATAGTGAGTGATTCACCTTTAACTACGACGATGTTCTGTTCTGTTCAGGTTTCCTGCTTTACTATAAAACATTTCCTTTCCAGTGAGTATCCGGCTCAGAGAAGCAGGATGGACTCTGAGGACACGGAGGAGGGCGTCGCCGGCTCCGTCACCCTCCTGCAGAACGCCACTCTGTCCACGCAGCCCATCGCCAGCCTGGACTGGAGCCCCGACAAGCAGGGCCTGTGCGTGTGCTCGGGCTTCGACCAGACGGTCCGCGTGCTCATCGTCACCAAACTCAACGTGGCGTGAAGACGCAGACCGAGACAGAGACGGTCCAGATCGCCACGAGACACAAACAGGAAGTGAATCACTTCTGTGAGGCTCACTCGTCTTTTATTAGAAGACAACGACGTCCTCCTGCAGGTCCTGGTGGCGGTCCATCCAGAAAACCATTTTACTAAATGAACTTGAGATCCTCTGTTGTTCCGTTGTCTCTTAAATGAGTTAACCTGTAGTGCAGAGAAATATTCCTGTAACACGATTCCCCATATTATTAAAAAGCCTTTATTGGGAAGAAGAAATGAGTTTTGGAAGAAGACTTTGGGATCAAGATTTAATTTCTGTATCTCTCTTTTGTTGCATTGTTGGCCGATGTTCTTCTTCTTCTGTTTTGTTGAAGTTGTCACTTTTAAAATGTTTTTTATTGAGAAATTAAATGTGCCTTTTGGAGAAAACACTTGTTATGAATGTCTCCTTTAATGTCAAGAGGATTACTGTATGAACACACAATAGAGTCTTACCAGCTACTCCAGTCTTTTGGGTAAACAGTAAGCAAACCATCATCATCATCATCATCATCATCATCATCATCATCATCATCATCATCATCATCATCATCATATCCAGCGTCTGAACTGGAAGAAGTCCTGAAGGTCCTGGTCTTCCTCCGGTCTGTCGTGGATCCCGGCGTAGACGCTCCTCAGCAGCTCCGTCATGGACTTTCCATCCAAGATGTCGATGTATTTGTCGATGCAACCTACGAACACGGATTCAATGTGTACAGGACGACTGCTGCGGTCTCCCTGACACACATGCTTGAACGTGTCAGCGGTTTTGAGTCTTGTCGTATTCATAAACACAAAGAGTACTTACTGAGGCCCATGACTTTGCCGTGTGCTACGAGGTTGGGGTCCAGCTGCTCGTGGTCGTACAGCTCCAGTGTCGTCAGCAGGCGGACGATCTCTCCCGAGACGAAGGCGTCGTCGAAGCTCTGCTCCTCCGCCGGCCTCAGAGGGAACCTGCAGTACACGTCTACTGCAGCCTGAGAGTCTGAAGGCTCCAGCAGCCGAACCAGCTCGATGTAGGCGTCATGGACCTGCTTAATGCACATGAGGCATTATTTTGGTGAATTTAGGAGAAATCTACAAACAGACAAAGTAGTAAAATAAATGTTTCATTTCCTCTAGTCTGAAACGACCAAATAACAAAATCTGAAAAATGGACCATTCCTCTGGACTTAATCACCAATTCACACAGTTAGGTGGGCGTTAAACTGGGGAGGAAATGTAGCGGAGGACCGCTGACCGTGGGGCCATGGAGATGAGCTCCCGGTAGAGCTGCTCTGCTCGGTCGTGGGCGTCTGCAGAGCGGGAGAGGGCTCGGGCCAGACCCAGCCGAGAGACGTGAGAGACGCGGTTCACCCGGTCAGCCACAGCCGGCTCTGTATTCACACAGGAAGTAGAACCGACTTAAAGATGTCTGCCTGTGTATACGTGAACAGTCATCTCTTAGATTGAGAATTTAGTATGGTGACTCATATCTCATTTGTTGGCTTTGGGGTAGAAAGGATTTCACTCTCAATGCTTTTGTCTCTCCTCACCCGCCGCTGTCTCAACCTTTTCGGGGCAACAGTCCTGTTTAGACCTGTTGGAGGGGAGCTGGGGTTTTGTGCAGTTGTTGGACGGTTTGGCTGATCTCTCTGGCCTGGCTGCTGCTGCTCCAGCTCTCCCCCTACAGGACACAACACATACGACATAAACCTAGGAATGGATGACAGAATTAAATCTATGTTTAGATAAACAACAGACGACTGAATAAACAGTCAGGACTTCTTTTTGACACGCTTAATCGTAGCCAAACTCAAAACCTTCCAAGACCTGTAAATGTTTCCTTCATTCAAATAATTCACTGCAGCTTCTACGAGGAAACCTGTAAACTTGTTCCAGTGAAGCGACCACATGAAGCTCGACATAAACATGCAGCAGGAAAGAGCAGAGGAAAAGTAAGCATCACACGGGAAATCACCCAGTGCGAACAAACAACCACACAACACGTCGGCCAAGCGCGTGACTCACCTGGCTGGATGCTGGGCAGCTCTCCCCCCTCTGATGATGGACGCTGGGGGGAAAGAGCTGAAGCTTTGGTTCCAGCTGCTGCCCCCCGCCCCGGACCGGGTCCTCCTCTGCCCCGCTTAGCTCCTCTCTTGGCCACGCTGGTCTCAGAGGGCCCCTTCACTCCTGCTGGTTGGCCGATGGACTGCTTGGCAGCTCTCTGGTTTTGAGCCTCCGGTCGGTCCTGCCACCACTTCTGTTCTGAGCAAACAGAAAAAGGGGGTTTAATGTGGACGAGGCTATCATAACTATTTTCATAGACAGAGACAGGAAGCACACTATGCAGACTCACTGCTCAGCTGTTCAGGTGGCTCTCCGCTCTGAGTCTTGTGTTCCAGAAGGGCCCAAGAGACACAGGGCATGGCTGTCCCGCGGCGTGGTCACCACCGCTAGCTGGCAAGTCTGTAAAAGAGGCATACACACACAGGAACATTGCATTTAACACATCTGCTATTTATCTAATCCAACACTTCCACAACACAGACCCAGCCGCCGGCGTGTATGTGTGTGTGTGTGGCCTTGACAGCGCTTAAATTGTGTTTCCATCTGGACGGAGATTTTATTAAAACGGAGAACGAAGGACGAAAAACGTTGTTTATAAGAATACGTGTGTTCGTGTGGACTAGAGCTAAACTACACTGTTAAAATACAAATAAACGTGTGTTTCCCTGCCCATGTGAACCCTCTTTCTCCTGTAGGTCCAGCAGCTCCTGACAGGGGGCGATGGAGGTGAGGCGTATGAGCGCTGCGAGGGCCTGGCATCTCTTCGCCACCAGGGGCCGAGCCTGGCGCTCGCCCTGCTGGATCAGCCTCTGCAGCAGGGCGAACTGAGCATCCAGGAGCACCCACTCCAGCTGCCCCCTCGTCGAGCCACGACACACACACCGACTCACACTCTGGGCAGCCAGCGCTGCTACGCTGAAGCATTCCAGCACAGAGACAAGCAGACATTTAACTGGGTCATACTGATGGGAGTGTTGAGACCTTTCCTTGAATATGAGCTGAGATCCAAAACAAACACTGGGTCAACGGGTGATGTATGTCACTGTTTTGCTTGAACAAATGTTGTGTCTTGTACGCATACATGTGATAGACCTGCTCCACTGTCATGGCCCTCCCAGACAGTGTGTTTCTCTGCTGCAGCCGGCCCACAGTGAGGAGGCCTCGCAGGAACTGCAGGCTGAGGCCGGACAGAGGGTCTGATGGATGCTGCTCCACCCAGCTGTAGAGAAAACCATGAAGAAGATTGGCAGCACGAAAAAAAACAGCCGTGAACGACTATAGCTCCTTGATTATGAATCCCAAAATGGAAGTAGCTATTTTTTCAGCTGCTAAAGAATCAGATCTATAAATCTTAACCCAAAAAATGTGGACTTTCTGGCTCCAGTAACTGACAAAAATGGTGGTTTATGGGAAACCCAAATCTAGAGGTCTAGGGTTTTTATGTACAGTATGTGTGACACTGTAGATGTTACTGTGTTTCACACACACACACACACACACACACCTCTTGCTGCAGCGCTGGCTGACAAAGTGCTCCAGTCCCTGTTGTAAGAACAGAGAGGCCTCCTTCTCCGTGTCCTCGGAGGCTTTCTGGTCCTGCTGCAGCAGAGCCAGTCCTGTGAAGAACCTGAGACAGTGAAGGCCACACAGGAGAGATGCTGACGAGGCTCCGACTCTGTAGTTTTACATATTAATGAGGACCACATTGTGACGGAGGTGGCCGTGCTCCGGCTTGTTCCCCAGTGTTTATCAGCCGTGTCTTTCCTCCCAGTTGTCACCAGATCATTGTCTCATCTACCGTTGTAGTTACTGGTTCAGGCCGAGGTAGTTTTTGTGTTTTCTAAGAATTATTCTCGTGTTGTTTTGAAAGCCAGTCGTCACCAGTCTGTCTTCCACCACCACCTTCTCTCCACCCCGTCTCCCTTCCACCACAATAAGTCCTCTCCAACTCCATCTACCTCTGAGTCAGTGTCCAGCCAACCACATCACAACACAGCTCTGAGAACTCACAATGTCCCAACTGCTGCATGATCACATGATGTCACGTAGCAGTTATAGTGAAGTTAACATTTGAGGAGCAGGTCGAGAGTTTGGTCAAAGCTCTTAAATTACATAACAAGCTCCATAAAATTCCATATTTTATAACTTATAAGTATCCGTAACCTGTGACAGTTTCTAGTGTTTCCTTTGCTGCACCAACTCTCTAAAAATCCACTCAATTTTCAAAATGATAAGATGTGACTCATTAGTTTTGGTTGTGACTCTGAAGTAAGAGAATTACTGTCTTTATAAAATGTTGTAAAGACTATAAAGTCTTTGAAGAGACTTTGTAAATGGTGACAGTAATATCCTGGGATCCCTCTTTGACATTAACTGGTACTCCTAATTAGAGCTAGTGAAGTAAACTTAGATGAACTTGTGACACAGTTACCCTGCCAGACTTCTTGGAGAGCCAGAGGTAGAGAGTCTGGACGTAGTCCGCTTTGCTGGACTGTCCCTGCTCTCTGAGCTGCTGGTACTCTTTGCCCAAGGCCTGCAGCTGGTGCTCCACCGTGGGCGTGCCGAGGAAACCGTGGAGCTCGCACACGGCCAGGACGTCGTCCTGACGCGCCGTGGATTTGGCATCGCTGAGCTCGTCTCTGTCTGTGTCGGCCTGGAGATGAACCAGTGAGAAGGTGAGAGGCTGAGAGTCAGCTGCACAATTCACTGTTCTTAAATATAAGGAACGCTTTCATTGATAATATGATATAAGAAGCTATTAGTTCATGTTTTGCTGCAGCTCGTCATCTGTTCAGAACCTCACACTTTGTCGCTTGTCTTTCCCCAGAACTACCTTCCTCTGGAGGCCGTACAGCTCTGTGGTGTAGTGCTGCTCCTCCAGAACGAGACCCAGCAGGAAGTGGAGCCTGGCCTCTCTGGATCGGAGTCCGATGGCCGATGCATAGTGGACGGCAGCCTGCTCCAGGCTATCGAGGGGAGACTGGCCATCCTCATACTGCAACACATCCCGTGTAGGAAGGTGAGCAAAGTAAACTTCATGGTGAGCACACACGGGTCAACAAGTCCAGAGAACATTTGCATTATTACAGAGCTGTGAAACAACATGATCGAGACTGTTTTATCTGTTTGATAGTTTACCACGGCCGTCATGGATTTCATTTAACCGACATATAAACTAAGAGCCCGTTGAGACATTAGATGAGTTCACTAACTGGAGGCAGAGAAGCTGTTGTGTAACAGCTACACTTCTCTGTGATTTGCTCTCCGCTGGTTTGAGAATGAGGCTGTCGTGCAGTTGTGGATCCAATTTTTGAATGTTGTGGAACGCTGATCAATGAAGAGCTGCAAACAAGCTGCACAGAGAGCAACAAACTCATTATTGAGGGTTTAG